GCGTGCGTTTGGACTCAAAGAGTTTTATGCCCCCGTTTTATCTCTTAACTGGAGAAGTCTTTGGATGTAAATTGGATCAGATCGTGCGTAAAAGTCCACTGTAATCGGTGCTTTTAGTTTAGAGAATAGCTCGTTTTGTGTGAGGGGAAAAGGTGGAAACAGTTGGGGGGGTTTGAATATCCTGATCCACCTCAAACGTCTCATTTTAGTGGTTCTCAACTTAAAGGCCACCTTTGGAAACAGGAAAATGATTTAAAGCTTCAGATTGATGGAATATTCACCATGAAAATGAACCTTTTCTGTACAATCAAATGAGTCTTGTGAGGGACCTTTTTCCTGTTTGTTATCTTCATATTTGTGTCAGATTCTCAGATTTCTGTCAGCCTTTCCTTTTGATTTGCATTCCTTCAGACCCGGTGGATCAGAAAATAATGTTTTTTATTGTTATTTTACCATAAAAGGGCATTTTTCTAAACAAAATCGACACATTTTAGACCTTTTTTAATTGAGGAAACCACATTTTCTGTCCTTATGTGTCATTGATCTTATTATTTTAACGCTTTAAAGCCTGATCCAAGAAAAAATAGAAGAATATTGGATTTTTTTCAGTCTGAAGTCTTTCTTTGGCCCCTCAACAACATATGAAGAAAAAAAACAGAAAGTATTTTGATCAAATTAGCGTGCAATAGGTCAAAATTATATGTTGGTGTAGTCTTCTACTGGCTGTTATCAGGTATATCTGAATGTGTACAACAGGGGTTTGAGCAAAGCTTTTACCACTGAATGATGCAGAAAGTCTCAGATCCAAAAGATTTCAGAAACCGTAGCAAATATGGCACATTTGACATTATAGAGTTAAGATGTTTTTAGCTAATATGTCTCAGTTTTTTTTTGCCCTTTACCCAGTTTGGAGGAATGTTATTTCTTCTCTTAGTATTTTAACATGAGCATCTCAATAGTGAATAATTGTTGGAGTTATTAGAGGAAAATAAAAAGCTTTCTCGGGGTAAAAACGACCCGTTACCTGACCAGGTGTTGTGTTTTCTGTGAGCTAATATAAGTGAGCTCATCGGACAAAACTGCAGTTTATCAGAATCAGAATCAGAAATACTTTAATAATCCCCGAGGGAAATTTTTTTGTTACTGGCTCCATAAATAAAACAACGGCATATACGTATATACATGTTTATACATATATATATACTGTATATATACAAAATTCACATATAATATAACAAAATATATACATAAATGGACTGTCTCAGAAAATTAGAATATTATGATAAAGTTCTTTATTTACCGTAATGCAATTATAAAACATGAAATGATTAATGAATGAATAGCCTACTAGTATGCTTTTTCACGACATTCTAATATTTTGAGATAGGATATTTGGGTTTCTTAAGCTGTAAGCCATAATCAGCGATATTAAAACAATAAAAGGCTTGCCATATTTCAGTTGATTTGTAATGAACCCAGAATGTATGACATTTCATGTTTTTTAATTGCATTACAGAAAATAAAGAACTTTATCACAATATTGTAATTTTCTGAGACAGTCCTGTATACATAAATATATATTATACAGTGGGGGAAATAAGTATTTGACCCCTTGCTGATTTTGCAGGTTTGCCCACTTACAAAGAATGCAACGATCTATAACTTTAATCATATGTACATGCTAACAGTGAAAGACAGAATCCCAAAGAAAATTCCAGAAAATCACATCATATGAATTTATAAAAATTGATAACCATCTGC